CATGTTCAAGCACACAGCTCCAATGAAGTAAATCAAAACAGTTATCATCCTGTCACAAGATTACCTACACAGCCTAAGGCGCAACCAGAGCTTCCACTTACTTTCAGCAATACTACTAAACAAGCAGACGTCTTGAACAAGCAACAGGCCAACGATCTTCAAAGCAGCAAAACGAGTACCATTCATAATCATGGACAGTTTGATTGGGGTGCATTCAGCAAATGTAGCGTGACCTGTGGATCAGGGGTCAGAAAACGATACCGGAGGTGCAATGTTGAGCAATGCACGGCTCCGGGAATGGAGACTCAGGTTATCCCTTGCATAAGTGCCACTTGTTCGGGTATGTATCAATTCTCGTGGATAAGAATTGCCCACTTAAGAACTGTGAATTGAAAAAATAATTAGGGAGTTAAAAATTGGAGCTAGTAGAGCTAAAAAAAAAGGGAAGATCTACAGAAAGGAATGGATCAAAGGGAAAAGTGAAGGATAGTTGAACAGCTGCCTGGCACAACGCATATCTTGTAATCGTCTCATGAATGGCTAAAATCTTTACTCGGCCCAGATCGCGGTCGATTACTTTAATTAGAAAAATGTTCCATTTTCAATGCATCAAATCAATTTTCTAAAGGTGCCCGACCTTAGGCATATCTTAATTTAACATTTCTCTGCGTATTTACCCAGCTGACGCTTTCAGTTGGTCTCCTTACTCGGCGTGCTCTGTAACGTGTGGTGTTGGCAAAAGAACTCGGTCCCGAATGTGTGATGGGGTGGCCTGTCCCAGATCAGGCCAAGAATTTGAGACCATCTCATGTTTTCGACCAGGGTGTCCAGGTAAGTTCTAATGTTCTTTTTTGTTATTTGTTCCACGCTCGTGACAATTAAAGCGATTAAAGCGTGCAATCCCGCGGAGGCAGAATGGGCTCATCTTGCCCTCGGGTAGCCAATTAACCAGAATCACGGGCACTGGAAGCGACATAATCAAAAGATTATACTGCGGGTACGAATGTCTCGAGGAAGTGACCTCACAAGTTGGGGTTCCATGTAGGTTAACTGAAGAAAAGATTGCAACTCTAAGGTGAAATTATCATTCTAAAAACAGATGTTCAATCCTTCTATGTTATCCTTGTAGTGTTACATTTAGGGTTCGAGAAGTGGGAAAACCAAGTGGTTCTGGACGAGTCCGACAAGGGTAATAACGCCTTCTTGGACAAGGGTGCGTTCATTGCTCCACACAGAGGAGTTTGTGGACACTATGCAAGCCTTGGAAAGTCAGGTAATATACTGCTGGAAGATAAAACCTTCAGAGGCAAACCGAGCACTGGCATCACCGTTGCATCTTGGGTAAACCTAGTGGGAACTTCTCTTGGATTTCATTCTATCTTTAGCACAGCTCAGGTGATGAACATTGGGCAAATCATGGGTAAGATATTTTTTTCGTACTTTAGAGGCTCTGAAATTGAAGCATATGATTATAAATATAGCGCGGGCAAACTATTTAAGCGACTTGACACATGTGCCCTAAGCAATCCCATTGGCTCTCAAAGACGATGCCCATATAAACAATTTAATCTGTGAGTTCACTCCCTACTCTTGGCTTAGTCTTTCTGTTTTAAGTTCTTTCCTTCAGTTGCGCAATGACACATCAAAAAACAAAGCCGTCTGTTTCTTTTTCCCAGGCAAGCCTTGACTTGATTATTCGTGCCCAAATAATTTCTAACGCGGACGTTACAAAGTCCCGGTGAAAAACTAAGTGACAATCCATCAAATACTTTACAAATGAAAGCGTTAATAACCAATCAAAGAAGATAATTCCTTTTAATAAAAAAAAAAAGAACGCTACTCTTTCCCCTGCCATTGCAATTAATTGTTACAGAGGAAATGAGGCATACAGCAGAGGAGACGCCCGATGTAAAGTCTAAAAACTTAAAAAGGTATTTCTCGCCTTAATTTTCCATTTATTTTGGACAGGAGGATATCATTTTGAAGTTGATGACGGTAAGGTTCGCTGGTTTCATCGAAACCGCTTTCAGAATCCAGTATTCAGTGTTATCACTGATAACATTGTCAAGCCTGATGTTTGGACACATTTGATTGGCTCCTACAACAGCACCTCTGGAGAAGCCAAGGTATCAGTATTTTTCATTCATTCAAAGTTTTCTAACGAAATTTTATTACCACAAGCCTTGATCCTTGATCCAACGAAAGCACGATTTAATAAATATTCGATATGTATATTTTCCACAGGTGTACGTAAACGGCGCTTTGCGTGGTTCCTCGCGAGGTTATGGGGCTCTTGACGACTTTTGGGGTTACAAAGCATGTGTAGGGAGCTTTGACCTGGGAGGAAGATATCTTCAAGGCTTTGTCGACGATTTTTACATATTCAATTATGCAGTAGAACCTGGTCAGATCAAAGACCTTCTGCGAATCAAATGCCCTAAAAGAGCAGCAAGCTGACCAAAACTTCGTTGAGTTCATGCGGGCGAAAGATGGTCGAGTGCAAGGCAAATGGTGCACGAGCTAGCGAAAAAATTCGCTCCTAATGACATCTTGCCACTCGATACTAACGTTCTAAACATTATGAACGGCTTTCTAAGTCATATCCGCGAGACAAAAGAAACTAGCAAGATTTACAAAAATACTCCAACAGAGATGGATGGAAGTTCCGCGGAACACTTTTATAAAATAAATCTATAGCAAATTTCGAAGAATACCTCGCTAAAGTCGTGTTTTTATTTCATAGTTAGTCGCCTCCAGCTTAGCAGAGAAAGCGAACTAATGAACAAATGAATCGACATACTGGGTATTACCAACTTACCATAATAAATTCCATTTTACTAGCTGAGTTTATGATTAAGTTCAAACAGTTCAAAACGTGAGGCGCTTTCCTCTTTGAAATAATAAAAATATAAAAAATTTCATGTGTTCGCTATATATTTTTTTACTGCTCGGTATCGTCAGAGGAGCTGCCTGATTCGTGTAACCGATGGCTAAATTCCCTACTGAGGACTATGTCGACTTAAAAACCCTGAGAGGGACTAAAAAACGCTCCATGGTTAGATCGCTCCAAGTCAGATCGCTCCATACCGAAGGCAGATCGCTCCACTCGAAAGTTAGTTCGCTCCATCAAATAAGTTCCCTGAGAGGGACTAAAATGGGAGTCCATTGCCAGGTTTCCAGATGATACAGCCCCGGGTGATCTTTTAGATGTAATACTCTGTAAAAAACGGAATGGAGAATTTGCTGTATAAGGGGGACTTGACTGGCTTTCAACGTCGCACCAGCCAGCGTTCGAACCGCCGCAGTGGCTGCGTATCGCAACCCAGCCAGTCGATGGGGATGATAGAGGCTCCATTTTGGACGACTTGGAATCTAAATCGCTATGGTCTAAATACAATGGGGACCCTCACTAGAACTTGAATCAGAGTACCTTTTTAGGTTTCTTCTTGGTGAAGCTGGAAGCTCGCTGTGAGATGATACATCCTGTGATAGTTTTGAACGATATCGTGTGACGAAAGAGGAGGTTGGTTTAATTTCAATTCTATGTGAACTTACTTGAAGATCGCCAGGGTAGCAGAGTGCTGTAACTCTCACCACACTGAGGCAAATCTGCAACACAGAGTCTGTAGTTGTGGAAGGAATCGGAGAGTCAAGAAACGTGTCTCTGCTCATTGAGTTGGCCGAGAAGAGCGCTTTGTCATTTCCCTCCACTATTGAAAATTCCTCTTAAGCATTTTAACCGATGTCTTTATCAGTTGCCGCTGAAAGAGATAGAAACTTCTCACTCGTAAACGAATGCGCGTGCATGCCCACGTCGAGCAATTAGAATAAAACCAACCGAAAAAGTAGACTTTCTCGTACAAATATGTCAGAAATGAACGGTGAGAGAGCTCTTGAAGTTCTCATACGAAAGACTCGCCGGTTTGTTCGGCGTTCACCCTTCAGTCCAACTGTTCAATACAAGCTACTCAAACTTCGCCACACAAACTTTTTTTCAGGCTTCGGACTTTTATCGGGTGCAATTCGTTTTTGGCGGAAATTAATTGTCGAAGAGCAGAATCACGGTGGAAAGTCTGTGAAGCTTATAGCTGATGAAGACAGATACGTCCTTCTTCTCTTTCAGTTAAAAAGTGGAAGTGGAAGAAATTCTGGAAACTGCATTGTGGCACGAAGGATCACAGAATTGGTACCGACAGAAAAGTGTTCTTAACTGTAGCTTGTGATTTCAGCATTTCATTTTTCGTTAACTTAAGTTAAAAACAGCATTGGGAAACAGAGGCCGATACATACACTTGGAAAGTTTATAAAGAAGATTTTCTGTGGTCTGGTGTGTTGAACTAAGTTAAACCTCTACATTTCTCGTCATTATAGTGACGAAAAGAGAGATGCAAATTTGCAGCTAGTTACTTAGTGCTCGTTTAACAAGTTCGTTAGCTCGCTTAATGACTACACTGCATACTCCATCTGAGAAGGGTAATGTTTTCACCTCCACGTATCAAGTTTGCCCATGCGGGGTCTGCTTATTTACCAAGGCCAATACAGGTAAAACGACGAATTAAGGAAATTCATGAAATACGCGCCATTTCTAGTTGGATAAAACTAAATGTGGTGCTAATTTTGGATAGCGGCTTGGATAATTTCTCTGAATATACGTATTGGTTTTCATTGTAACCGTGGAACGCATACAAGCTATTATATTACACCTACCATCATTAACCCTTTACACACTAACATCAGTATGCATTTTCTCCACACCGTTCTCTATACATTTCCTAAGGTACTGACAAGGAGAATTTGTTTAACAATCAAGGTTCTTAAGTTGGAGATTGTTTGCTTTATTCTCGTGACCTGGATGTTTGATCCAGGTGTGATGTTGTGAGGAGAACTCACTCTCAGGAGTCAAAGGGTTGAAGACTAACTCAAACTCAAATAATCAGTTCTAATCAAAATATGAAGAAAATCTTACGGACAACCAGTACCCTAACAGAGGAACTGCAACCTTCACTTTCTCAGGAGGAATCTTTAATCCACCCTTCCTTAAAATATTACAAATTTAGTTCTGTTTGTTGAATTTGTCTAAAAAATGACCACATTTTCATCTTTAAAGGCGTATTTCATATGATCATTGGGCTCACTGTCACTCACTGAGTAGCTACGCACCTACCCCTCCCCTAACCCTAACTTTGTTATCATTTGACTGTTGTTGGGTTAAGGGAGAGGTGGGTGCCGAGTTGCTCAGATACTGACATTGATCTGATCATTGTATGAGAGATTCTCTTCATTTTGAAAAATCATCAGTGATGACGTGGGTAAGATTGATCGCAGAGCTCATGTGGAGATATCATAACAGAATAAAAATAAATTATCATCATGATTATTATGTACAGATACACGGCTCTTCTAAGTTTCCTTTAGTGCGCTTTCTTCGTAAAATGTTCTGCTTTCCAGGCCCTTTGATAGCAAGCGGATCGGTTATAAAAAGGTCAGCTTGAATTGGTACCAAAATTATTTAATGGAACTTTTCCGCTACTCAAGTTGTGAATCATCGCAGCAATCTGTGCCTGTCGATCCAGCTCAGACTGTAATTCCTTGACAGTTGCTTCTCGCTTCTTTATCACGTCTTCGTGTTGGCGGCAGATCAGTTCCAGCGACGAGAGCTGTGAACATGCGAACGTATAAAAAGAAAGCAATTAGCCGAGATCCATCGCCTAAAACACATTTTTATCTTCATTTTAACATCTGTTTATCCCCAATTTTAAAGAAGATAAATCGATACCAACCTTATGCGATAACTCTTTCCTTTCCTTCTCGGCTTTGGTTAAATTACTTTTCAGTGAGTCGTTTTTCTCCTGTAGATCTTCGATATTATTTTCGCGTTGTTTCGTTTCTTCCTCTTGTTTCTGTAGAGTTTTCCGGAGCTCTACAAAAGAGACAAGGTTTCTACTTCAAACAGGGTTTTGGATATCAAACTGGCGCGAAATGCTGGACGAGGTTTTGTGTTGTTTTAAGTAGCTATTGCCAAAAATAAATATTACTAAAATAAATATTACGATCAACGAATTGTGACTCGAGACAATTTAACAACAGTGCTCAGAAGCCCCTAGTGACGTAAAAATCGACTACTCCATCACGTGGGGGTTCAGAGTTCAACGGCGATCCAGAGCTCTGGGGACGTCTTTACGAATCCGGTTCTCGAATATCATAGTGTTTCACTGAAAACGGTAAAGAATATTTTAGAGACCCACAGAACTTTACCTTGGCATTTTAAGTCCTTTTCTTTGAGTTGCTGAGCAATTTTCTTCCTCTCCTGTTCAAGTTCTTGAAGTTGTCTAGATGTGCTGGGTAGAAAAACACAGAACATCATCACAAGGTGTTTCCTTGTAATTTACGACCAGAACTAGACCAGCGAATTGTGTGAATATTGTTACCAGTCATGTTGACTCTTAAGATTATCGTTGTGTCGCCTCAACATCTCGTTTAAGTCAGACAGCGCTTTGTGTTCGTCTTGAGCCGCCATAAGACTACGCTGGCTTGTTTCGAGTCTGTAGAGAGGTAAAAAAAAAATACAGTTTGATCAGGGCCAAGAATGCGGAATTGATAATATTAAGACGCTCATAAGATTGTGACTGCCAAAACAACCTAAATTTGACTTATTTGATTTCTGTATTGCAATAGACTTTCACCGTACAAGACCAGTGGGGCTGAGATAACGAATGACCATACACGGGTAAACGTAGACTATTTGGGCTCTCACCGGACCAGTGGGGCTGAGATAACGAAGGTTCCTGTTCCTGGCTTTACCCTATGTCCCTTTTGCCACACCATGCATGGCTTCGCTCATAAAACTAACCATTAAACCAACCTTTGTGACTGCTCAGCAAAAGCAATCTTGAGTTGCTCATGCTCCTCTGCGACCACTTTCAAGTTCTCATTGTGTCTCATCATGACTTCCATCTGAAAGAAGTCCGAAAAAAATAAATTGATCATAAAAGCGTTAAAAACATTGCGAAAGATTCATGGATAGACTGCTATTTCATCACGGGCTTGAAAATGGGGTAAAGAGTGTCATGGTAAAGAGAATAGGAGAAACATACCAAAAGAAAGCTTTGGAAAAAGGTCAACTTTCACACTTCCTAATATGTAATAGCGCGCACTTTTTCTCTCTTGGAAAAGTGTGATGTTTATGAATTTATAAAGCATCTTAAAGCATTATGTCACTGCGCCTTTGAGGAATGACTTGCGCCGACGAAAAACAAACTATATGTAAATGTTGGACATAAGAAAATCTAGACAGAAAACATACCTCTTTTGTCGCCGACTTCTGAGCCTGAAGAAGTTCGTTTATCTGCAAATATATGCGAGTAAAGTATTTCTCATTTTTTGTTGAGAAAAAAAGGCACAGCACACTACTTTTCGACTAATCATCTTGTTTCCCTAATACTAATTACTCAAGAGCTAATTTTCTAGTTTATAGACTTCATCTCACCACACATGCATTACCTGCTCTGCTTGCTGCTCGGCCTTCTTTTCTGTCGTCTGCAAGAGCTGCATCAGTTTCGCACACTACAAGAGATGAAGCCAAACGAGAAGGGTCGTGAAAACCGGTCTTATATCGACTATTATTAAAAACTGGATCATTGGATAATGCAATTCAGGAAGTTTTATTGGCTTAGACACCATGAGCCATTATACCATGCGCGCGCAGGACTACATGGTACGCTGTAACATTCCGTTAGTTCTTTCAAAATAAATTAGGAAGATTTGTCTTTATTTTGGGGCGTTTTTAGTTAAACAATTATTCCACTCGCGCTTGCTGGATATGAGATGCCAGCTCATATCCAACGCGCGCTCGTGGATTAATTGTTTAATCATAACCATTACAATTTTCTTAAACGTGATTGGTGCATTAGCTGCCCTATTTTTCACTACTCATTCAGTACAGCTGTAATCGGACAGTTGGCTGTAATCGGAAACCTGAAGTAGCCAATCATTCTAAGTCCACTCAGCCAAATCCAACAACCACATAATTAATCACAATAATCATAGCAACAACCACTTATCCTGCAAAAAATTGAGGAATCTCCAAAACGGAGAAATTTTTTTACTTTAGACATTGTCTCTACCGGAGATATTTGAACTAAATGTATTTGTTGTTTTCGGAAATTGTAACGGTTATGATTAATTGGCAACAGGACTTCTTGTCGTTCAATTCTGTCAGTAATCATACAGACAGAACTGTGATTGACAAATTGCACTCCCGCTTCGCGGTCGTCCAAATTTGTTGATTACTCGTATGATTACAGACTGAATTGGACTCCACTCGGTCCTATTACCATTATTAACATCGAGAGCGACCAATTATTCCAGCGAACTAGAACATCGTCATACCTCGGCTTCCGATTGAGCCCTCCGACACCGGTACTGTGAAATGAGACGATCAGCTTGAGCCAACGCGAGAGCCTTTGCTTCCAACAGATCTTGAAGATGACTTTCCTTTGTCTAAAATGAACATTAAAAGGTATATTTCATCCACCTGATGTTCTAACGAGTTAAGCCGAAAAATAACTATGATTGGGATAAAAACGAGAATTTCACACTAACCACGAAGGCGGCCATCTTTGCCTCGTATATGTCCATGATTTCAGAAGCGTGAGGATCCGGTTTTATCTACCAAAAAAATGACGAAGTATCGGAATGGCGTTATACCAGAGGGAAAAACCCGAATGTTATAGCTACCAATAGGACAGAAAATTTCAAGAAACATTCAAAAACAATACAAACAGTGCACACAGAGAAACTGGAACATCCTTTCTGGATATCTCCATTTCAGAGGCACAAACTTTTCTCACGACGGGAAAAATGGCTCCTCATATATAACCTCTGTATGAGAACAGATATTAGTTTAAGAGACACTTTCCCTTGTCGCAAGGTTGTTCCCCAAAAAGAAGTTCCATTGCATCCTTTTCATGGCTCACGAAACGTTAACATGCTAAACCTAAGGAAGTATAAATGTATTATGTGTATACCATGAGGCAGTTCGGTGCAGGAGTCAATGTTGTGCCAAAGAAGAGTTAAAGAGAAAAACGACAAAACAAGCAAGGAGACCTCTAGTCCTGATTTCATCTTCTCGATCAACGACTCGATGTTTGCATCACGATTTGCATTCTTCACTGGAGCACTTATCTGAACAGGAGCGTGGTCCAGGCCTGCCGAACGTAAGCTGGTGGAGTTGCGGCTATTGTTGATTGAAACCTGGTGCCGAGGAGACGAAGGCGGACTCAAGTCTGTTTCGATGGGTCGTCTTAAAAGTGTCATCTCTTCCTCACGGGCCGCGTTATTTGAGGCGATCAAATCACCTAGCCTGAAATAAATGAACATCGAATATTTTATAGCTGATTGTGAATCCTCACGCCAATAGAAAGATATGGCATTGTAGAGGATGCTTAATATTAAACGAACTCACCATATGGCTTGGAAATCTGGCAGGCTGTTAGCATCGCACAGAATCCGGAGAGCTTTTTGAACGCTGTCACGTGAATCACTACTCATCGCGCGCGCCAAGAATGGCACTAACCTCTGGTCTTGTAATGCGGAAGCAAGCTGTTCCTATAGAGAAATAAAGCCCGTCTGCAGAGTGAGCGCAAAAAAATTTTCCTCTAACTATCGTGCCTAAGAAATAATTTACAAACTCGAAGTGCCTTTCTTATAAACAAACCAAAATTGAGTTTGAAAAAATAAATTATTTACGGTATGACAAAAGGAAAGGCTTGTACCTTGAGTCCTGTTATATCATTCTTCAGCTTACACAGCAAGTCTAACATCTGAAGCACAAGGTTTACGCCTTCCTGGCTGCAATGAATAACGCTATCAGCAGGCGCGCATTTGACAGGTATATTGCGCATCATATGCACTGCTTTAGAATGATTCACCTTCAGATATAGAATCAGGCTTATGGAAAGTGTAAGGTTCAATAGGCTTTGACACATTGCTTAGTACAAAGCTTCTCTTGGGAACTTCTCACGAAACAAGAAGAATCATTCGGGAACGTCCTTTTTTTCCTCCAACAAAATAAGATGCTAACTAAGTAAAGATGAGGAAGTTTCTCTTTATCAATAATTAAAGAATTTTGGTATGACTTGTTTAGTATTCTATAAGCGAACTAAATTTGGGTTAGTGTAGCTTTACGGCTTTGTAAACAAGTGTACCGTTTTGTTTGTCTGCTTTAAGCCGTTGTACGTGTAACGACTCTTTACAATGCCGAAACACAACACAGCAGCTCTTGCGAGTGTTCACTGGCAAGCAATAATTTTACTGTTCATGTTTAGCAGAGAACATCCTGCCACTGTAACATTGTAACATACCTCCAAGGTAACGCTAGGGTGCTTCTCGTTCCAATACTGTTGTGTTGATATTGATATTCCAATAATTTCCACCAGTACTCGAGCTTTACATGTCCTAAAACAATACTCTTCAATGAATCCTCAAAACAAAGAAGTTTGAAGAGTTAAGGGGAGTAACAACTGGTGGACAGTGCACCATGATATGAAGAAGTAAGTTACTCGTCATGTCACAACAATGGGCCAAAAAAAAAAGTCCCTATGAGGCATCGAACCCCAGACCTTTGGGTTCTGCACTGCGATGCTTTACCTTGAAGCAACAAGGAATATTGCTACTACCCGCTAGACGGTATGATAGTCCATCGCAAGACACCCCAGCAGTATTCTGTCAGTCTTCCTGACAGTTTGCTAGAAACCAGTCATAGATGATGCTTGTTAGGGAAAGAATACAACACAATGGCTCTAACAGAGCTCACACCTCCATCTTTCAACTAGGAGTTATGCAGTCACTACCCAGGAAACTACTTAATCCCCCATATCTTTGAAAATGGGAGATGAAAAACCATAAATACAATACAATTCTCACAGGAATACAGTTGTCATATAGTTTCCAAAACAACCTCATCTTTAAGCTAAATCGACGTGCATACTGTGAATATGGAATAACCTGAACAGTATCAAGAAGGATATCATTAAGAACTTCCATGGCCTTGTTGATCTGTGCACATGTTTGTTTGAGTAAGGTGCCATCAATTTCTGTGGGTGGTACAAGTAGCTGAGTCAGAACAGAAACAAGATCAGATGTGGGAGGAGAGAGCTGATCCAGAAGACCACCATCAACAAGTTCCTGGAGAGGAAAGTAACAAATGGACATAATCATGAATTAAAAGGTAACTGATGGCTATGAAGTCAGTTTTTTGGAATACTCTCTAAATGCTTCAGGTAAAACAGTCACAAGGTGCTTCAAATGTTTCTTTGTTCATTTTTCCACTCAAAAAAACTTTCCTAAATGCAGCTTTATGAGTCATCCGCCAAAACAAAACAACAACTCAAAAGTATAAGTCTTCATAAGTCAAATTTACTCCCAGAATTCAGTATATGGTTACTGCTGCTTATATTTATTTAGGAGTATTTTTGCTTCATGGCATTTTTGCTCTAAGATTTCCCATGGGACTGTAATAGATGAAATCATGAAATGTTTCTTGACCAAAATTTAATGCACTCAGGAAATTCATGTTTCAAAATATCTAATACCAATGTTTAATTTCGTACCCTTAAAACTTACTACACATTTTTGCCAAACAAATTTTAAGTTTGCAGAACATTTCCAACCATTTTTGACAATAACTTCATCAAGCAGTGGAGATTTCCTTCTGATGCGTTTAGAAGTTGTAACAACTGTTTAGTACCTCATAAATCTCCTTGATAAAATCAAGAGCCTTCAGGGACACAGTTGAGTGGGTGTCAACTGACTGACCGGCCCAGTATAAGACAGCATCATATGCACTGTTCACATTTGGGTCCTTTGGTTTGGAGCTTGCAGGTGAAAACAATGCTCTGCACACAAGACATCGTAACCCAGTAACTGAGCAGAATGTCAACAGCAGCTCAAATACCTTTCAAGAAATAAGCAAACATTATGTGGTAAATTAAAAGTTCTGGGAGCACCTCCACCAAGCTGAACCAAGCTCCTCAAAAAACTCTCCGAAATTACAAAATAATTCAAAGAACATCTGAAAAATGGGAGAAGACATAATTCTATTACCATTCATAATACATTGAATATTTTACTTGCGCATGATTGGTCTCATTGCATCACAGGAATGAATATGTCCTAGCTAAAATTGTTGAATACCCTCCTTAAACTTTTCTGTATGATAGTGCTAGTATCCTGGATTTTCTTTCCAATATGAACCCTCAATACTCTCAGCTGCACATGAGGAGAACATTTTTATTTCAGTTGTCTCTTAGCCAGCAGAAGACACCCTTAAATTCACTCTTGAGATTCATACAACAACCTCTACAGCAAATAAAAGCACATTGTTACAAATATCTACAATAATTTTAATGCCTAAAATGGATAACCTTAACTGCCTCATCTGCTTGGTTTAAGTGTAGCAAAGCCAGAATCTGCTCCAGGTAAAAAGCCAAATGTTCATGTCTGAAACCAAATAAGTCGTGGAGTCATTATACACATTAATTCATACATTTCATTCCATAGTATACCAATGTGTCCTTTTACAGGTTAAAACTGTATGCACTTTCCAGGAGTTACAATGCATAGTGCACATATTTGCAAGGGGTTTCAAAAAAACCTTTTTCATAACAAGTTGCTTAAGGTGGGAATGAAGCCTGTTGTCTAAAAGGGCCATAAAAATCGTATTGTTTATAACATATGAACAGATGGTACTAAAAGTCTTGAGAAGGCCCTCTGAGTGGCAATGGGCTTCATCAAGTCCTTAATTAAGCCAACTGCAATAGAGATAGTGATTATGAAGAAATAAATCAGGGCTGTCAATAAGTTTGAAGGTAGACAGCAAATGAGAATGTTGAGCCATGTTGTTTTGTTGGATTATGCAAAAGACTTGGCACTATCCAGTTAAAATATCCCAAGAGTCCATGAAGATCCCATACACCTTCCAGAGAATTTGAAATAAACATGGAACTGATTTACACATCCTTATCACTACAAAATCATGCATTCTGCAATTTTGCTTAAAACTGGGAAATAGCTGCTGTACAAATTTCTTCAATGGTATTTTGATAATTGTTCAATTTTATTGACAGCAATGTTAAAATGAAATAAAAGAAGCAAAGCTGGCTAAAGGTAGCACTGACACTAGGCAGAGGTTTTGGCCAGCTACCAGCTCCTCTAGACAGCTTTGCGAACCTTATGTTTCACTATGATGAACCTTTTAACAAACTAAGGATCCATACATTAGATGAACTTACATGAGGAGAGATTGCTGAATTTTAGGGCTGGCAAGTAAATCAACAAACAGATCCACTGAGGAACGTCTTGTTGTTGAGCCCTCACCATTTATCAGAAATGTGAAAACCAGCTGAAAGGTCTGGTGAATGTTCTTGGAATTGAACAGCTAGTTGATATAAAGAAAAGTGAATGATCATGGTGGTGCTTAAACTACTACAAAGTAAGAAGAAACTGTATTTAAACAGATCTTCAGTGACATCTCTGATTAAATAGTCTCACCTAAACATGGGGGGTTGGTCAGTAGGATTAAAGACAGAATTTTGAAGCTTTTAATTGAGATCTTAAACACCCCTCCCTTCTGACCCCAGATAGTTGAGATGTGGCAATGTAAACATGGAAAAAGTCTACTAATGCCAACACACTGTTTATGAATTCTCACTTTTTCAAACCTATTGACAAATGAGATTGGATTTAGCAGTCCTCAATTCATTAGGGTACAATGCTTTCAGTTTCAAAATTATCTAAAAGTTAAATATTAAGCTTAATTTTATCTGCACAAGAAATTTACCTTCTCTCCTAACTGCTCATGAAGTGATAAGCTTGTCAAAATGGATAATGCAAACACAATTACTGTCAGGTTACTATGAGACAGAAAGGCTATTAGAGTCCGGTAGAGTGATTTTATGTTCTCCTGCAATGACAAAATTAGCCTCTGGATCAGTAAACCAAATCAGTGTTTCAAAGTTACTACGAGACTCAAGAAATCTGAGAATACTAAAAATATTCAGAGCATGTGATTGTGTTTTAGGGACAAAACAACTAGGTGTTCAGAAAACTAAAACCCAAACAGCAATAGTTATAAAGTTGAGGTTAAGATAGTTGCTTGTGTATTTGCCACAATTATTTTTATTGGTCATTTTGGTAGAAATAGAAATTGACCTGTCAGAATCAAACCAAAATGTTCATAACTTTCTGAGTTTGTAGGTAAACTTTATTGTTATTATAAATGATATGCAAGTTAAACTCACAGGTAGCTTTAATGCTTAGCAATACTCAAAAAAACTTTTTCAACTGAAAACTTTATTTTTGCGTATCAGATGGCTAGGTAATTACAATCTTGAAAAGAAAGTACAGTGTAAAATATTGCATAGTTTCATATACAAATTGCACTGTAAATATACGCAATCATTACACATTTGCTCACCAGTGCCTTGACATGGGCTTGGATTGGCAGATTATGTCGGCATAAGTTTGCCAACAGACCTAAACATGGTATAGTAAGGTCTGACTCTTGCATCTGTCTACATTGAGTGAAAAGGTAGAAAAGATTAAGATTATCATGAATAAAGTAGAATTCTATACTTATTTTATAACAGATGGACAGATGGACAGACAAACTGAAAGATGAACAAACACACAGCTGGAGCAACAGTTCTAAAGACAGACAGCAACTAGCATAATTAAAGTGAACAAAAATTATAACAACTCAGACAAAGTTCTGCAATCTTTGTTCAATTACATTAATACCACAACAAATGCTTGCTGCTTCCTTCAATGCCCAAACTATCATTTTTATGTTTCCCTTGAACTGTTTTCTCCTTCCTCTTCTCTTCTCTTCTCTTAATAACAATCATGACAAATAATAAACTTTGCTTATTAAACTTCCCAAATGTTTCATCAACATAATACTATTATCAGCCACAGTAATTTTATGACAGCAGCATTGTCATCATATTTAACAGCAATAGATGCTTTAATTCATCATGCTGTACATAATATTTTCAATTGATATTTGGTTAACCATAATAGAAATCCACATGTACCTACATGTTATTCACTAAATATCTGATCAGTTCACCAATGTATCCACTTGGTGTAGTGAATTTACAGCCATATGTGACTCTTTCCAGAAGTTGCAGACACTTTGAATTTAAAACAACAGAAATGGTAAATATTTGTACATGATTGTACAACTGAATTCACAGAATTTTTCCTACACTAGAATGGCTACATCTCTAAATTCCAAACTATCAAAAAGATCTGTCTTTAGCAAACCTCTGCCCAATAAGATTCCTTTGCAGACGAGACAAAACAGCCAGGGTAACATACAGCACCTCTCATATGAATTGCAGCATTTCATGCTTGTGATACATACATGCAATTCCCACATTTTACACAGGCAAAACATGCACAATATGTCTAACTATGTACAAATGCATATGGTAGAAAATGCATGCAAGTAATTGTGACATGCATGTAAATGCAGCAAAACATGCACAGTGTAACTATACACAAATGCATGATTGTGATATGCATGTAAATAACATGCAATCACATACAAGCAAGTGCAACTCCCATATTGTACACAAGCAGAACATGCACACTGTATGCAACTTAAGCATAAATGGATATGGTAAAAATGCATGCAAGTGATTGTGAAATGCATGTAAAATTTAATCACATACATTAAAATCAGTCCACTAAAACTCATTAAATGCATACACTAAGATAATAGTAATAAGATAAACTAACCCTAACTTTGAGAAAGTAAACATGAAGGGTACCTGTAAAATCATTTTGCCATTTGATGCTAGGTGATGTTTATGAAGTAGAGCTGCTAATGTAGAGGTCAGGTGATATGTGGAATGAAGAGTTTCTCTTGTGCTTCTGTCATTTGCTGATTGAGTGAGATGGGAAGTTATCAGCTAGTTGCAATGCAAACTAATACTTTGAATTCATGACTTCCAGATTAAACTCAAGTCTCTAATGTTCTGATATTTATTTCATTTAACATCTAATTTGACCCCATGGCTTTTAAAACAAAAAGTTGTAGGACATTTTATGTTTAGTTTCACAAAGGCTACATTTGGTTTGCAAATTAAGACTGTATAATGCACTACCAAAATAGACCTTTCCAATGAAATCCCCTTTTATTGATACTCTAGGAATCAGTGAATGTAGTTTACAATGTACATGTTCAGTGAATTTGTGATTCAACAGGACCAATGCCCTAAACCCTTCAAAGATTTCAGTGGATTTCCCAACAAAAATAATATATTATATTTATAAATTGAATAACAATAACATGCTTCAAGCCAGACATGTGCTGTAGCTCTAAAATTTCAGCACAAGCATGCACAAGTTCTGAACTCATACCTCGTTAGCTTACAAATAAAAAGAAGATAACTGGTCAACAAATACTACATGGATTTTAAGCTTTTACATGTGCTTGTGCTGAAATTGTGAAGCTCCCCCTTTGAAATCACTCACCAAGATTAAACAATAATGCCATAGACTTGGTATGTAGACTTGGTTTCACACTGCTTTCACTCAATAGACCCACCAGTGAAGAGAGACATTCTGCAGGAAGAAGCTCTTTGGCATTAAATCCACGAAGAGGTTTCCCAGCTGAGGTGATTCCAATTAAAACCTGATATAAAAAAGAAACACAAATAGAAATTTGAGTCAATTGGCAAAAAGTACGAACATCTAAAACAGGATTTCTCACATTTCTCATCCAGCTGCATGAGTGCAATGTGGGATAAGAATCCAACTGTAGAATTTTTTAACAGTAATTTACACCTAGTCAGCTTAACGTATCTGCAGTTAGCCACTAGTATACATTTAACATTTAACCCTTCACCCCCTTACATCAGTATGCATATCCTCCATGCTGTTCTCTATACATTTCTTAAGGTGCTGACAAGGAGAATTTGTTTAAAAATCAACAGCCTCTTCAGCTAGTGATAGTTTCCGTTATTCTTGTGACCTTAGTGTTTGATTCAGGGGTGATATTGTAAGGAGAAATTAGATACTTGTCATTCAAAGGAGTTTTAACCCTTTAAAAAGGGTTAAAGTTAGAGATAAAGATCAGCTGAAATTACGCCTGGCATAAACTTTAAAATATTCGCTTATTTGTCTTCTTTTCAATTTTTTACCACAAATTGAAGGCTATCTTATCCAATATGGTTCCTTGGCCCCAGATAATTACAGATCACCCAAACACCCAACCCAAACTGTTTTATTGTTTAATCACGACTATGACTCTATGCATGTATGCTGAGAAGCTCTTAAAAGAAACTTTTAAAACCTGGAGATCAGTATCGTAACAAAACTGTCGAATTTCTAAAGATTGTCATGTATATACAGCTAGACCACTAAAACAACGCCGAAGAACCGATTTTCCCAGAAGACAATCATCCACTGCTTATTTCAATGTTTCTCATTTTCACTCCAATTTCATGAACTAATAAGATTCCAATCTGCAACTTACATCGATTTGTCGTTCAAGATCCTTCGTGTTATGATCAGTGTTGTGACTTCTGTATTGACAAAACGCGCTTGAAAGTGCTTTGAGACAAGCTGTCACATCCAGCGACATCTTGAGCTTGTGAAAACCAATCTTCAAGAGCCACAATCGTGCAGTAATACTAAGGAAAAAAAATGAGATGAATTCCCTTCGCCAGTGTTGTTAGATTCTCTTAAAACTGTTCCTGTAGTTTCAAATTCCCGCGCATAACATGATGCGCATCGAATTTTACGGATTGCCGCTGACAAAACTGTTCGGGAGTAATGTCGGGTTGTTCCAAGGTCGGATAGCACTATCCGCTGGATACATCTCTATCCGGTCTAAACCGCCATACCTTTTGCCATCGCTTATCCGCTGGATAGCTATTTATCCTTTGGATAGCGTTATCCGACCTTTACACAACCGAGCCCTGCTGATTGGTAAGTAAGAACTTATCAGGAGCTGGTAAGGTGACTGAAACAGGTTTGTCATTTCTTCTCTCAAGCTTACCCACAATTATGAGCTTGGCATTAGATAGGTTATTTAACGGTTCAACGTATCAAATTTGGCAGGATTTACCGCAAGTAGACTGTCACGTTCTACAAACGGGAGATCCCTAAAAAAAAAAAAAATCCCTCTCCCCACTCCCCCCCAAAAAAGGAGGAAACCTCCCTCGCCCCCCCAAAAAAAAAGAAAAGAAACCGAAGTATTCTCTCATTGACGTTAAATGGGTTCTATAATCGTCTCCTAATCAAACTTTGCAAGGCTTCATAAAATTTTCCTTGGTCAGCAGAAAAATGCAGTGAAATTCATGACCACTAGTGATACCATCGTCTGGTCGTTCTCTTAAGGTCCCTAATCGCTAATGGCTAGTTGATCAAGCAGTTACACCTCGGTTATCAGAGACTCACATGATGAGACCACAGTTATACAAGCGACTTTTCATGACTACTTTGGAGAGTGTTGACTAAGGATGGAAAAAGCTAAAACAAAAATTCTCCTGTTTCGTGGAGAATAGAACGAAAATTTGTTTTTAATCGGATAATGTAGAGTTATGAGGAGGGCCTTGGAGTAAGTTATTCAAGTTTAAGTGCCTTCGCTGTGCAAATCCGTATTGCCCTACATCACAAACGTTAAATCTGAATGCAAGATGAGAGCGTTTTTTTCAAACATTGAAAAATGACTCGTGGAATATGCAGCTCGTGGCACTACTCAACAAACACGAGGGGCAATTTATAAGAATTGGGACATAATTTTTTTGTCAAGAAGTTTTCTACATGAAATACGATCGGTCTCTACATGGCCTCGCCCACAAGCAGGTCTCCGATACGCTAGGCTAACACAGAAAATTTAACACTTTTCTTGATGAAGTTTAAATAAACAACATCGTTGCGCTCCTTATGGAAGTCATGTTATTTAATGATCCAATACAATATTCTCCTAAAATATAACAGAATCTGACGGAAAACTAAGAATTGTTTACCATTCGCCAAAGTACATGGTGTCTAACTGATTCAACCTGTTCACCTGGGACGAATACGAACACTTACCCTCTCTCTGACTGAATCTACCACAAGTGCTAACTCATAATAAATGCATGATGGCATCGTAACTGGTCTTTGCATTGTTTCTCTCTCATATTTCATGCTACAATGTCGATTTTCTATCTTTTGCTGAGCAGACGACATAAAATTATTTCAATGATGGTTAATCGAAATTATGCAAACTTCGACAGTGATTTACGGATAGCTTGAAAATAAGCAGAGTGTGGAAAAAGTAAAGACACATTCTTGACAGATTTTTCTATCAGAGATCTGACATGAACGCTGAGAGAACTTGTGTTATCATCGTCCTTTTTTCAATGTGTCTAACCTTGGAGACACAAGCGCAAAAGAATGGGTTCAGAGGAGGATCGAAGTCATACGAAATTCACGTTGAGGCAAACACAATGGGAACAAATCTACATTATAAATTGCCCGAGTCCAAGGTGAAGGCTGCTTCTAAAGAAGACTGGCAGGTGGATAATGATAACGCTGAAATGCTGGCCATGAACAGCCCTGTTTTGGCTACAGTCAATGTAAAACATCCCAAGTTTAGTATGAAAGGACAGTGGCCTGAGTATAAGACAAGCTTCAAGCTGCCCAAAGATGTAAGTGTGGCTTCGAAACGAGCGGACTTTTCGAAGCTTTTTAAAAGCAAAACGAAAGTACGAGAAACTGATCCTGATCAAAGTGACGAGGACTCTTCCAGGAATGCAAAAGCCTCGAGAAATCATCGAGGTGAGAAACAACCTACGGGTTCTGGGATAAGGTTAAATAATCTTGCAGGACAGTTGTTTTCTGGGAGAAAAGCAGGGAAGAAAAGGCCGCACAACAAAAGGCTGGACATGTCACAAATTACAAGGCTTCTCCTTCCAATCGCAGGAATGAAGAATGTTAACCTTAGCAACCCTCGCGTTAGCAGTGCCATGAAAGGGGTTATCAAGCACGCCCGGAAAGTGGTAGATGAGGCAAAAGCGGTGCTCAACGACGCCGCAAACTTTGTAACAAAGGTCCGAAAGCTTGTGAAAGTCACTAAAGATCACTCAAAAATACACAAGCAGCTCCACAGAGTTATTGCCATGGAAACGTCTTCTAAAAAGCAAAATGAAGACAACCTTAACTCTGTGACTCCTAATGTGGAGACCTCCTCTTTGTCATCTAAGGATCAAGGAACTGAAAGAGCGCGACTCAAAGTAGTGGAGGACGCCAACGGCAGACAAAATGAGTTGAACCACAAAGAGTCAAGTATGCAAAGAACTGTTGATGGGCAAAAGCACAATCAAAAAGAGAGAACACCAGCCAGAGAAAATAAAGCAAGAATTGGAACGAGTACCAAAGGTTTTGAGAAACGATCATCCTCAGATTTTATGAAAACAGCCGACCAAACAAAACTTGAAAGGAAATCTCGCGTGCGTCGGAGAGGGCTGGCTGAGACACTGGAAAGCATCTTGTCAACAATTAACGACCTTCAAGGTCTTTCAGAACATTAGTAATGGCAGTTTTTCTTATTTAAAGCCTAAAATATACGAAGGTGTTCTGTCTTCACTTTCCTCCGGATAGCTAGTTGTGCTTCGACGGTGTGCACATTGTGCTCCTCCATTGTCCTCTCCCACCGCACACTTTCAAGGTTTGAAGCACTGCCATCGTGTAAATTTTCAGTAATACCCTCCGCTATGCTTGAAAAGGGCTCTTGATTAAACTTACGAAAATTAAGTTACACAAACTCTTCATTATATTCTTTCTGTTCTGGTAAACAGATACAAGATCTGGAGGTATCTAAATAAAATATTTACATTAGTTACTGTAAAGGAGACTGAAAACAAACAACAGCGTTTTTAGCAGGGAATAACCTAAGATGCACTACCATTTGGTAAAGACATACACAAATTGTAAGATTTTTGAAGGTTGGTAAATTTACAACAACACTTAAAAAAAAACCAGTTTTGGGCTTTTATCATTGGTTATTGATAGTTCAGGTGCCCCATGATACTTCATAAAATGTATGTAAACAAGTAATGAAGGGAAAGAAAAACTTTGCACAAACAGTAAAACAGTTTTTCAATAAAAAGTTGTATCTATATAACGTTTGAAAAAAAAACAGAAAACAAAAAGACATCCGAAACAATAACCAACAATATAATACTGCATTGACTGTATGTTCAGTACAAGTCTACTTTTAATGAGATCAATCTGGATCAGGGTGTTTGACACCCTTTTTATTAACAGCACCCCTCGATGAGCTGCCTACAAACACTAGACTGGCAGTTAACTAAATACAAATTAGTTTTAATCAAGCCTTGACCAGTGCCAAGTATGCGAAAAATAATTGAAGTATTTAGACTTTATAGTAGTGGACTAGGAGCAGTCCCACCTTATCATTTAAGTCTGTTGAGCAAGTTAAAAAATTCAGGGAATGAAAATTTCAAATATATGCTAGCGCATTATGCAGAACTCTAGGAGTGAGGTGCCTCACTCTTTGTGCACCTCACTCTCAGGGTTCCATCTAGCACCCTAACATCAATTTATTTTTTCATTGATTTATTTCGACTTGCGTGACTGACTTTGTTGAAAACAGGGACAGCTTGTAGTCCATTCTAGTAGGGATATACTGTTAAGAGTTACTATAAAAATATCATATCAGTAGCTAACAAACAGTCCAATAGCCAGTAAGCCAGTGCTATGATGAAGAATAATAGACAAAACATGTATTAAAAAGGTTCACTTCGTTATCTTACTGCTATGCAATGAATAGGTGATGCAGCAAAACAGAGATAGGTGAACTGATAAGTTTTGCCTGGTGCCCAAAGGTGTCTTGCAAACACTTTCCCTCTTTTTGCTTTAATGTATGCCTGTAGAACTAACTTAGTGGCTATTTTAGAGCTTGCAAATCAGACTATATGACCATCAATATGAATCAAGGATCTATTATGGACATTTTGATTACTATTGCGCCTAATAGTATTTGAATTAAATGATTATGTTCAACTTTTAAATGTTTTACTACAGTTTCTAGATTATCTAAAAAACTAAAAGATGAAATTATTGCGACTAATTGAATAACTGTGTTTTTAAAGGCTACATTAATTTGAATGTCTTTCTTTTTTCTTTGCACCCCTTCTTCAGGATGACATGAAATCCTTCCCAGCCTATGGTGACATTCCAAAGGAAATGGCAAGAAAAGGAGGCAAAATAAATCAAGGATTGTGTTGTTTATGCTTTAATTAGTGCTAATTTCTTTGCCATGTTTGTAACCAAAAGGATACAAAACTAAAACTGATTGGGAACTGGTCACTAACATTTTCCTGGACTTAAAGCTGCCAATGTATTTTCTTATAGTAGTCAAATACACCTTAGGCTGCAAAAATTTCTTTGTGTGGTGATTAAGAAAACTTTACACAGTTCAATAACTCAAAGCATAAACTGGAAATTTACTATATAATGTGAATGACAGATTGTATGTAGAACTAATATAAAAATGTGAAGCTTATCAACTAATGGCACATTATTAAAGCTTTCCTTCAACACCAAGAATAGCCAGTACAATTACTGCAATTATGATGGCTACTACAAAAACCAAAATGAGGCAGATCTTCTTGTTCTTCCACCACATTTCTCTGCGTAACCTTTTTGCTTGTCTGTGAAACACCTGAGACTGGAAAAATAAAATAACTAAATCAGAGGATGGGCCACTTTGCTGAGAGACAACAAATTAGGTATAGAATAAACATATGATCATTGTCAACAGAAAATCTTTCCAAATAGTAAAACTAATTTAACCTTTAACAGTCCTCCACGAGAGGCCAAATTTCTACTTACAATATCAAGCAGACATTAGTGACAAGAACAGGGAAAATGTCAGTTAGGGAATTACTATTTAATCCAAAACCAAATTCTCCAAACAAACATCATACATGTAATTGTATGATTGATAATAAGGAGAATGTCCAAAGAGATCTGGGAGCAAAATGGGTCAAGCACATATTAGTGCACACATATGTGCTTGTAGGTAAAACCAACTTACACTATGATCCAGTTCCTCTGTCTTTCCCACAAGAACATCGATCTTCTCACCTCTTTCAAGTACTTTTTCTACAGCAAACAAATGAGGGCAGTTAAAGGATATAGTTAGAGTACATTTACTTCTTATTAAACAAGTGTCAGAAATAATCCAGAATTCCTGAGATTCACTTTGCTTTGCTGTGTGATTTGTTTAGAAGCCTTCCTCCAAATCTTTAACAATCAGATGCATATCTAAAACCAATGATGGCTTTCTTATTAATTTGCTCCTTTAATACTTGCACCTGTGAAATTAGGCATGAATACAGTGGAGGAATGATTTTTTCCTTACTGTAGACTAGGTACTGTAAATTCCTTGGCTTTGGTTTTGTTTTGGAACATTTGGAGAACATGCAGCCAGGGATGTAAAGAGCTAAGAAAGCCAAAAGCTAAAGACTGGAACAGCTGTACATGTATGAAAATCATAAGAACTCAGGAAGAAAGTGCAATCCTTACCTATATTTTGAGTCATGACATCTTTGACCTCATTAACTTCCTTCTGAACTTTAGCAATCTGGTCTGACTCATCGTATCCAGGATCAGAGTATAATGACTATAATAACAAAAACATTTCATATGTAACAACACAGAACTACCACCGTTTTCAACAAAGAGAAAAATTTGTGGGGTATGTATGGGAGTAGCAGGATGTTTGAAAGAAAACTCTCATTTCTACTACTGTTTTGTTATTGACATCTTCAATAACAAAACATTTGAAGGTAACAATTTTTTGGTTAACTCTGGTCTGAATGCCAGCAAGCTGACTGCTGTTGTTTGTACATGTTAAATATGTTTTTGTTAAGTCTCCTCGTGAATCGATGGCAAAACTCTGGAAGCAAACAGAACTACTTCATTTAAAAGAAAATGTGCCCCCTTTGACCAAATTCATAGGGTATGTAAACTTTACGGATTGTTTGAAAATTTGGTCCAAAGACTCCCAGGGGGGGGGCAAAAGAGTGCAACAGCCTCCCCCTCCATTTGAAGGCCAAGGATTCTTTTACCGAATTTTAAAGGAAATTAAGGCCCTTTAAATTGTAACATAGCTAACATTTTTTAGATTGATTGTATACATTATTATTCTTTATAATACCATATAATTATAACTTTTGTAAAGTAAACATTACAATTAACTTACAGAACCCCTATTTATACCAGTGTCATTATACTGAAGGGATTATCAACGATGGCATTCTTGATGTCTGCATTAACTCAGATCTTTCCTATTGTCTCACCATTTGACTAGCCAGTACTTGTCCAAAATCTCGTCTGAATTCATATGCATGAGCTGAAATTGCTCTTTGCTTCAGTGAACTGTTAACAAATCTTCTTTTTATCTGTAAATTGGTCAGACAAGAAAGAACAACACAAAACATGATTACTGGCAATTCAACAAAATATTAGAAATCCTTAATAAGCTGAGAATAAGTGTACCCTACACAATACCAAGTTATTGTACTCAAGTAAAAATCAAAGTGTCCGTGAAAGTGGTGAATATTTACCTCCCTGCCTTGCAACTTGGTAGATATCCACTACTATCCACCTACATCAATAAATAATTGTTTACTATTTTTCAGCTACTTCATTTCTTGACAAGAACTCTTATCGAGAGGCATTGACAAAAGATTAGATTTGATCACCCTAATTACTAGCTCCCTGCCACAAGTTAAAATGTCTGTGATATAGGTAGGTGACTCCAAAGGTTACCTCCTCTAGGAATGCATATGGCTGTCTCTTTCCAAAGTCCTCATCAGCCATACAAAGATAAACAAGACCATCATCAACTATCACATGAAAATGGTAGCTTGAAAACATAAAAAGAAACATGACATCATATCAATAAGGTTTATGAAAGGTGTTGACAGTCATGCTACCTTTAATTTTCAGATGCTTCTTGATAATGCTAGATCCTTTTCAAATGGCAATGAGAATCTTTTCAAATGTCAGCTGGTTTAGGCAGGTACAATGGGAGATGATCTCTTGTCGCTAGTAAAATTTTTTTGTGGTTTCTGCAAACAGAATTGGCCGCTACAGTCACCGCTGGGTGATGATGATGATGATGAAATAAAAAAAATTTCCCTCCCATCTACTTCCGCCTCACTGTACAGCTTAAAGGGAAACGTTTTGTAAGGACCAAACAAGAAAACTCGTTTTCAACCGAATGAAACAGGGTTATGTATTGTTATTACACGAAAATTGTTTAGGCGACTCGCTAATTTTACTGGCATTAAAAAACGAGGACATACTTGTGGGAAAGCTGATTGCGACATGTACATCTGACTACAAAAGCTCTTGGCTAACATTTGTAGGAGATTCGAAACAAGTATTACTTAACAAAAATACCGAGCTTGTTTTTAGAGTTCTCATTAAAACTAAAACTTGGCCAATATATTTTCCTAGCTACATCCAGATTATGCGAGAATAGATATTCTCAGTTAAAACTTTGTATTCCCAAGTAGCTTACCTTCCAGAAACGTACGTGCACTTCGTATCATCGTGCAAGGGAATCTTTTGCAAAATTGAACCTGTTATCTGTTGGAAGTTACCACTAGATTCTGTGTAGTCGACTAGAACAGTAGTACCGCGAGCTATGAGACTGTAAATGATCGACATGATTGAACTCTCTTTCCCGGTAATAGGATATTACCAGGCGACGATCACCTGGCACTGTCAGTTCGACTTGGTCCGAATCACAAACCATTATATGACTGTTACACCACATTCAATCTAGGGTAACCGCTCATTATCGGTACCAGTCTTCTCACGGGTAAGGTGAAATTTTTCCCCATAGGTTGTAAACTTGAACTCTCTCCATCTCTAAACGACATTGTCCTTGAGGTCGTATCAAATTAACGAAGGAATTCACGCTGGTTGATGTTGTGTCAAGAAAACTCTGGAATGACAAGAACATTCTAGAAGTTGCAATGATTAAAAAAAATGTCTTGATAGGCATTGCAGAGCATCACTACAAAACGTCTGCGCGCGCGCCAGGGAGAGTAGGTTCTTTCGGTCGGCACAGCGGTCGAAGCAAGGTCGAGGTGCGTCGACATTGAGGTCACCTCCCCGAAGACCCTATTTGTATCGCACCTGAATTCAAAATTCATGTTTAAAATAAAAGGGGTAAGTTTCTAAAGAAACTGTGGTACAGCGTTGGTGAGCGACACAACTCCCCGGCAAGATAATTTGTCTTCATTAACTGAGATGAAAATGCATGAACAGTTTCCAAGCTGAAGTTTCGAGCGTTAACCATATGCATTCGCTGTGACGAAGGTCTAACTCTCTGCCGGAAAGTCAGCTTTGAAAACTCTTAACGGTGGCCAATTCACATTATCAACTTAGTTGTTAAAACCAAACCATCTTTACACTAAAAACCTTTTTAAAAATACTTCTACCATCCATGTGCTGATTGCTCTCACAACTGAGTGCTCAAACCATTACACCCGTAAATTTTTAGCCGTGTTGATATGAAAGGTGCTTTACTTTAAACAACCAGGGATGACGCGAAAAAAGGGGAGGAAAAAGGTCAGGCAGAGGAAGGAGAGCTATAAGGCAAACACAAAGCATGCATTTCAGCGACTGGGTTGATGCTCGAAGCGAAATGCTAAGCGAAATAAGAGTCTGTCGGTGTGATTTTTCGCGAAGTAGCGCCGCAAAAGAGATTCTGGCCACTGTATCTCTACATTAGACAACAATATTTCAGCTCCGATGCCAACTGCGAAGAAATTTTCCTTTTTCCACAATGGCCCGATAAAAAAAACACTAGGGGTACCTGAAGAACAATCTATCTAGCTTTCGGAAATAACCAGAGTTAATAGACTTGGTCAAATGAGCGATTTCATTGCTGTACAAAACTCTTCGGTGCGTCATTGTAAATCAATAAAGGACAATCGGGGGAAGAGAGTTGCAAAATTCACTTCACAATGTTTTCTTTGCTTATCATTTTATTTTATTTTGTTGATTACTTTAAATAAGCCTTGTAATCTGATTGGTTGTTTTGTTTTAGGGTTTACTTCCCACTGACTTGGAAAAAGATGCAATTCAGAGCAAAAGATAAAGCGATTTGTACATAAGACCAGCGCCAATCGGATCGCAAGGATCACTAATAGATGTAACTCGTTATTTAACTTTTATTTGTATAATAATTTGTTTATTCATATATCTGTGTGTCCACGTACGATTTAAGTGAATGTTTCTTGTGAAATAAGTTCGTGATAGTTGAAGAACGGAAACAAGAACCCTTGTCTGCTTCCATCGTCCTCTTCAAAGCATGTTGTCCAAATTTTTGTAACAACCCATTAATTTTGGAAAGGCAACTGAAGCCGAATTCGAAGGTCGGAAAGTCTAAATTGAGTCTAAAATAGATAAAATAACTCTATGGATAATTGGCATGCTTGTCTAAAAGAAAGCTGTCACGTACCGGGAGGCTGGGAGTCGCAACAATTAGACAAAACTTAGAACCTTCAAGAGCGGAAATAAAAAATTCAAGTCCCGAAAGTGTATCGTGCCTGTGAACACAACTGAAAACGCCCATCAAAATTAAAAAGTATAGACTGACTGAAAACATTGCCGAAATAGTCTGAAGACCAGAAAAGTGTTTCATGGAAAATGGAATTTTCGTAATGATGCACTGATCTTAAATCCTTATCAGTAGTCAATTTTACTTGCACATTCACGACAACATCCAGTTGTTCGTGGGCGACAAATATCTTATCTGCATCAGAATAAAGTTTCCTCGGGATCGACGCTTTTTTCAGAGCTCGAGAATGTGCTGCATGTTCCACGGGCCAAGTGTTCATGAACATCTGATCATCTAATTTCGTCTCTGCAGACTCGGCAAATTCAGTGTTGAACCTAACTGATGGGGGTTCAGGTGGCTGGAGACAGTTTTCCTATGCTCTGGATAGATACACTTGTTCTCAGCGCTCAAAAACCAACTTCTCCCCCCCCTTACGGTCAAACGATTCTCACGCGTTTACCTGAGGTTGGAAGTTTGGAAATAGTGGGAGCGACCTGGCAATCTTAACCAACATGCTAATGCTGTGAATATTTTCTAGTGTAACATCCATTGAACGCTAACCTTTAGTCATGTCCTTTTAGCTCGGAAATGGCTTTATGGAATTTTTCCGAAGAAATCATTCAAAGATTTCGCCGATGTAAGAGAATTAAAAATGCTGAGAAATGTCATATGTTTACTCTTATCGTTATGTCATGAGTTGGACTAGTTGTACAACAGCTATTTTTTTCTTCCAACAATGTCGTTTACGCTAACTTAAAACATGTATCAGCGTTACTATTCGTCCAATTTTCAAACACGTTATTTAGATTAAGGTAGACGAGATTGATGGTAGCAATGTGGGTATCCCCTCTTATATTGCACCACCATGTGCATGGGTATTTCCCCAATATTATGATGAACAATTTTTCGTTTCTGTTTAGTTAAATTGAGCGTGATTTATTGGAAATTAAACTATTACTTGACTACCTATGAAAGTAAACTGGAAGGGGGGGGGGGGGGAAAGATACTCAAAACCTTAGTGATGTAAGGAAACTTACCATATGGCTGCTGATTTCTTAGTATTCCTCAAGGTCAACTATTTCAATATCTCCCTGTATTTTTTTTTTCTGTGATTATCTTTCTCTTGTATTGGTGTGTTTTTTTTTATATACCTTCACTTTTTACATTTCATGACTTTTAAATAGGGAGATGATGTTGCTCTTAATTTTAGTCGGGCCATGAGGCGGATGGAAGTATATACAATTTTAAAACAATAAAGAGCAAAATTTCCGCACAGCCCCATACTTCATTATGCATCCATTTATGAGGCTTTATTATTCAGTGTATCACCAATAAGACGTGCATGCATAATTAAGTATGGGACTGTGCAGAAATATTTCCCAATAAAGTTTTATTACAGTTGAAAACCTCACCTTGGTATGTCTTCTATTATGTGAAATTGCTGAAATTCCAACAAGTGAAAAAATCCTCCTTCCGTACCTGTCTCAAATCGATCGGCTGATCTGTTTACATGCGAAGCAACTCACTTGAAACTGCTGACTGATCGCTCTTTCAAATCCAAGATACTTCACAACAAATGAACACTCCTTTTCACCGATCATAATCTCGAGTGCGAACGGAAGTTAACTTTGGATGACAATTTTTTGACGCCAATGCGTTCGCAAACAATTTTTTGTCCACGATAAATTAACTGTACTAGCCCCAGTCTCCTGTTTAGCGTCTCGGGTATTCGCAGAGGGGATTAAGAAAATATTAAGAAAACTAAGGAATACTAGATTACGCACTTAGAGTGTTTGAATATACCGTTGCACTTATGTCCTCCTATTGCAGATATGTCCTCTGACGTATTGTGATACAGTGGCCAATCATATCCTGCGATCTATCGAGCGACACGCGGATTGGGACTGGTTAAGAGACTCCGTTGTAGTTATGTCTTCAAGCAAAAGTACTCATTCAAGGGGGTCGGGATAAGTGGAAAATTTGACCAGTATTTTCCGGTAACTGATCTCAGGAAACATGCTGTTCGCATGATCACTGCGAACCGGATCATTGGCCTCTCATATTGCTTTCCTTGAAGTTCAATCGTTCGTTAACGCAGAGTGATCGCATCGTTGTTATAACCTAAACTTGGAAGAACAATTTGCTGGGCGTGAATAACAAAGCGACTTTCGACCGAAGGATGCGTTATTGCTCACGTTTTATTTGTAGCCTTGCTTTATTTACAGTCTTCATTGCTCGACTTGCGACTTCAATGACAACATTTTAGCCACAAGCTAAGACAAAAGCACAATGTGGCGTCATATCACAATTGCTTTATTTTCTTTAATAGTTGAAGATCATAGATTATGGTTCGTCGACATAAAATTATATATTTTTGACACTTCACCTGATCTGCCGGAGGTACTGTTTCTAAATTATTGTAGGATTTATTGCACTTTTGAGTGGATTTGTCCTATTTTACCCTGTTTATGACAAATTCACACAATGATTAAATCGAAAATGGGGCTAAAGGTGGCTATGGCAAGTCAATAGGATAGAATCCACCTAAAGGATGAATTTCACAGAATTTATCCCGTTTTTCTAGAATTCATTGGAAAAAAATGGAAAATCGGGTTGAAGATTGGATATGGCAACTTGGGATCTATTCCATTTGGAGAATAACTTTTCAGATTTTACCCTGTTTTTTGTCAAATTCACTGAAAAAAATGGAAAATCGGAGTAAAAATAGCATATGGGAGCCTCGGGTATTCTTCACTTGTAGCATGAATGCTCAGAATTTAACCCGTTTTTCTCGAATTCACTTATCAAATGGAAAATCGGGGTAAAGATGGCATATGGGAACTTAGCGTATTGCTATCACTTGCGGGATGAGTTCGCAGAATTTACCTCGTTTTTCTACAATTCATTAAAAAAAAAATGGAAAATCGGGTGGAAGATAGCATGTGGGAACTTAGGGTACTATTCACTTGTAGTATGAATGCTTAGAATTTACCCCGTTTTTCTCGAATTCACTGATCAAATGGAAAATCGGGGTAAAGATGGCATATGGGAACTTAGCATATTGCTATCACTTGCGGGATGAACTCGCAGAATTTATCCCGTTTATCTAGAATTCGATGAGAAAAAAGCATTGAAAATCGGGTTGAAGATTGGATATGACAACCTA